TATGTACGCGACTGCGCCAAAAATTCGGTGAGATAAAGGGCACGCCACGCGCCTCGCAGTGTATAACACCGTGCGAGATCCGAGAGAGAATTACTGGCCCCCATTGATTACATTATTGCGAGAGAAATTATGCTACGATGATCCGTTCCTCCTTTCTTCTTCCTCTTCTTCTTCTTCTTCTTTTTCTTTTCTGTCGGTGATGATCAACGGATAATTTTACGGTGCTATGTACAAGTAGTATTGTTATTCGGCTAATATCTAATATCCCTTACGATCTAGTAGTTCCGTTTTTTCTTTTCTCTTGCTCTTCATCTTCGCGAGAATTTTCGTATCCGATTTCGATAATCACCGGCCTGTTTTTTTTTTTTTCTTTCGATTCATTTAATTCTTTGATCGCTGGACCACATAATATTAATTTTTTTTTTTTTTTCCGTAATAATTGGAATAAAAGAATCGGCCAATCAGACTGTGTTCCTCGATAGCAGCCATTCTTCCTGAGTTTTTCGAAAGTGATCGCGTTTGGAAAAAAAAGAAAAAAAAAAAAAGAAAAAGAGAAAATAATAGAATATAATCTTAATTCTACGCGTAGTAAATATATATATATATATATTACTCGGTATTGCTTTTCGTTTCTGATGTGGCTCGACATCTCCTAGACGCAAACACGTGCGCACACCTACCTCTTGCCTACCTTTTACGCTCTCGCGTAATGGATCTTTAAGAATCGACCTCGTATTGTCCACGTTGATGTATAATATACGCACGTCAAATTCAACGTACGAAAGCACCAAGAAAGATTGAGCACCGCGCATGATCGCAGATTAAGAATGCAATTTATACGTGTTGGTTGGTTGATAAGGTACGCGTGTTAGTGGTTAGATCGTATGATGCATGTGTATGCGTGTGTGTGTTGTGTGTGTAGTATCGTTTTTACTGGCCCTTGAAGAAGCGAAGAATGGAAAATCATCGCTAGTTTGACGGACTGACCTGTCAGCTACGTCGTTTCGAAAACCCTCGATACATCGTGTATTTTTATTTTTTTTTTTTTTCTTTTCTTTGCTCCCATCCCTCCCCCCTCCCCTCCTCCTTTTTCATCAGACACGTTTTCGTCGAATGTTATGGCTCGCACAGTCGGATCTCTCCGCGCGAACTCTCCCATTAAACATCACCCCGAACGCGCTAAGTTAAGAGCACCTCTTAAATTGTTAATATATGCCTCGTTGGAATTTTTTCACGACAGCCGTGTAAGCGCACAGTGAACATGATGAAATCAAGAAATCTAACAACGAATTCAGGTACGTCGACACCCGTCAAACGATCGACGTTGGAGGGGTTGGAATTTTTTTTTCTTTTCCTTTTTTTGAAAGACATTTGTCGAAAGACGAATAATACGCATCGAAATACGCGATCATATCTCGAGAGAAAAATTCGACGAACTTTTCTCCCATCTTTGAAATTCATTCGTTGGTTAAACACAAATAATATCGAATTTTTCATCAACCCATCTTCTCCTCCTCTGCCCCTCTTTTCATCAAGTGTGTGAACGAAGAACGGTTCGTTCGATCGCGAAAAGTGGCTTCAACCGTAGCTCGTAGCCTGACGTCAGTTGACGTCTCTTAAGGCACTTGAAATGCTAATTTCTCTAGACGGGGCCTTTCTAGAAAATCGGTCGCGTCCAACTCCTTTTTACCCGGTTTTCCGGATGGAAATCACTTGAGAAAATTGTTTCTTTACGAAAAAAAAAAAGAAAAACAATTGCTCCTTTTTTCTATCTTCGCGCCTTTGGGAATGTGTGTGCGCTTCGTTTTTTTTTTTTTTGGAATAATCGTCGTCAGCCTTGAGAAAAATCTCTCGCCCGAGGCGTTGGAATGTGATTGAGCTTCGAAAAAGGAAAAGGAAAAGAAAAAGGAAGAAACCTACGCGAATTTGCCCGGGACGAAATTCCGACGAAAGGCTCGACGAGGTGCCCTCGTAAAGGATGAAACGAGAGAGAGAGAAACGCCTCTCGGCCAAAATGTTAACCGGGAACAATATCGTTTTATCATCCAGTGTCGACAATTAGCCGAAATGAATCGTTCTCGAGGCGGAGATGGAGGATGCCGTAACGGGACGAAGTTGAAGTAGAAATGTATCTCGTTGAGAAGCGTAGGTACGATCCGGCACGAGCTCGCGGTGAAAAAAAATGATAATGATCAAAGAGGGTGTCGGCATGACGTCAGTATGCATTTCTCATCGGGCGCGCTCTCCGCTCAGATTACTGACGGCTGCACACCGCTGAAGAAATCCCTTACAGGAAAGGTACAACGGTATCAGTCATCAAGATCGTGGAGTGGCATCCTGGGTGGCACCTCGTTCATTTTCGGATTGAATTTCGCAATGACGATCGCGCGAAAATTATTCATACGGTGAATAACGGGGGGCGTGGTCGGGCCTGCTGTTCCAAGTGTTAGTAGCGGGCCACGATACAACGGGAAAATTGCAAAAAATTTAACGTAAGTGGTGACTCGAGCTATTTTGATAAATAATCCACGTGACAAGGGTGGTTCGAGATTTTTTGAGAAAAAGTGAAGAATGCACAAACGTGGCCCGTTCGATCGTATCGTGGCCCGTTTTCCACCGCGATCCCTTTGCGATTCCGGAATTTTGACAAATGTCGCGGGTGTCGAAAAGTAAGACGAAGACGAGGCGAAAACAGCGTAAGAGTAGGGGGATGAAAGCAAGGATCTGGATGAAATGATTGGCAATAATTTTTCGTTTCGAACGGGAGAATCTCTCGATCGAGTATAATAGAAACGCTTGATATATTATAATATGTACGTGTTATCTCACTGGTCCTCCGCGGGAGGATTCGAAATGGTCGCGTTATGAAATGTGTATACAAGCACGAAGATTCGCGTGACTTAAGGCACTAACAGTATACTTAAGGCCTAACGCAATATTCTCTTCCTTAACGTTAAAAGGCACTATTCCCTATCAAAATACAACACGTAACAAGTATTAATTTATCAATCTTCGCACTAATCTTAACACGTAGAGGTTCCTTTCTTCATCTTTTTAACGATTATAAACTGGCTCTAGCATATACTGGCATCTTGTTCCATAATTTTTTTTTTTCTTTTTTTTTAACTAGCTTCGAAATAGTTATATGTATGTCTATCTTTAACCGCGTTGTTGCCGCAGTGGCGAAAGGTAGAGAGAGAGAGAGAGAGAGAGGAGGAGGAAGAAGAGAGAGAGGAGGGAGGAGGAGGAGAGAAGAAGAAGAGA